CCTTTGAAAATGTAGCTAGTATCTATCTAATGGTTTTATTGGCAGGAGACTCCAGTAGCCTTTTAATATCATAAAGTAAACCACATAATACAACTGCAACACACCGCTCTGAGGGCCTGGTTTCCAGTAGGTGATTTGACAGTATTTTATACCCACTCACTTTGCACAGGCCTGAATGGCTGCACAGTGTGCATGAAATTACAGGCTTGAGTCTCAGGAATTTATCTTTTCATCTCATTTAAAAGCCTAAAACAATAATATTAGTTCTGAGGCCGAGATCTGCTTACAGATCAGTGACATCACATCACTCCTCCTTTTTTCTTCTTGCTGATTAACCTGTTTGGACTTTCATAGAAGTCCTTGATGTAGGAGCGAAATGTCCTTGAAAACACTGGGTTCTTGGCAAGTAGGCAAATTCCCAGTATGAGGCAAAGAAGGCCAATTTTGCTTTCATTACACTGTTGCTATTCCCACCAACTTCCCAATTTTCATGAAAGTAGTACACACACACGTTAGCGAAGGGTTCAGCGTACTGCACGACCTGGATTCTATTTCTAGCATTACCATGAGTGTCTTTTTGCCTCTCTTCACCCGTCACTTCAAGCAAATAAAAAACAGTTTTGTCTCTTGAGGGAAGATAGTCTTACTTTTTTATAAAGCAGGAAAACAGTCATTTGGCATAATCATATGACATAGAAGGTTGTTCTGCAAGGGAAATTGTTACTAGAAGTTTCTTGGATCTTGAAGGTTCTTAAATCTAAATCACTTAGTTTCAACAAGAAGGTCTTAGTGTCAACAATACAATTGTCAACAAGCAGGTTAGGTTTATTTTCAGATTAACACTGTTGAAATGTACCCCTCTGAGAAATTTTGGTTAAGAGAAAACTCCAGAGCATATTCATTAAATGACCTTTTCCCCATCACTTGTCACAGTCTTACTGATTTGCATATCCACTCAGTTAGGCGCCTCATAGATCTGGAAGGTATCACTGCTATGCTAGTTCAGCCTAAAAATCTGAATGTATTTCCTGACGTTTTTGTATATTGAATGGCAGCTGTGCTATCTGTTCTCATATTTCAGATCTTTACTCCATTCATTTGCCTAACTTAAAGAAGCTGAACAAAATGGGAAAGAGAAATATGGAACTCATGGTTTTGACAATGTTTCAAGGAAATGTATTGCTGAGGGTTCTTTAGGCACCTTATGTCAATCTAGAAAAGCTATTTTTTGATCACTCCCTTCCAGCTGAAGAATACTGCAAGTAGAAACTTTAAAATCAGAATCATCTATTTCTCATAATTTTGAGGAGGACAGAAAAATTCCACCGGAGAGTAGTCAATCCATATAAGCAAAACCCTGTTCCAATCTAATTCCATCCTGTCTTGATCAAGCCAGTCCGGTGAAAAGAATGAGGGACTGTATTCTGGCTGCAATTCCAACTCGAACATGAAATACTTATGGAATTAAATCCATGTCCTAAAAAACAGGAGCATGAAGAATAGTCTAGCACCTCGAGTAATATAATACTGCATCTGCTATATTTCACTATTTGCTGTAAATGTCTCAGGCTTTTCTGTTCAGTTTCTGTCCTTTCAGTAGTATCCCTTTCATTATTTTACTTCTGTCTATGCAACTTCCAGGAAGCAGTTTTCTAAATTAAAATGACATCACTTCAAACCCCTGTAAATTCAAGTCAGCGTTCACAAAATGTACTAGATTGGCAGCCTTTGACCGTAAAGTCTCTAACCAGCTGAAACAATAGACGGCTCAAGGTTCCTTGTATTGCTCTACCTGGTATTTCGAATCTACTCATCCTTTCTCCCCCGCTTTCTGAAGTTTGGCCAGTTTGGCTATGTTGACATCTATCTGATAACATTAAATATTTTTGAGGGGAAAAATTATTTTGGAACATTGGCATTACTGACATTACTGATGTTTTCAAAAATGTGGAAACAACTCATGAGCAGAAATCCCTTTTTGAGAACATTCAGCCATGCCCAGGATTTTGAAGGTGCAATTTCACTACTATTAGGTTTCTGACTTGTTCTGGTGTTTCACAAGTGTAGCTTCATGCATTTTATTTCCCTGAATATGGCACTTTGGAGCCTCAACCATACCACCGAGACACAGCAATGATTTTTAAATTCTTACTGTTGGGTAAGGCAGTGATGGCTGAAGTTTAATCAGACAAGGATTCCCATATCCCTGTTCCGACACCATGTTCTGGTAGCAGCCTGACACTTCAAACTGTGGTAAATTTTCTATATGTAATTCTATTGTGACTGAG